GAGGGGGCGGAGCCCTGAGCACGGCTCGACAGGTCTGTCATAGACAGACGTGGTGTCATTGGAGCTTCCGTAGTTGGTCACGCCGAGGCGATTCCCATAGTGAAACACCTCACTCTGTTATCAAAGAACCAGGGATTACGTTAAGTAACCCAACGTTTCCTCAGGTTACACGAGCTGAGTTTTTTCACGCTGAAAAGTTAGTTTGTTTTGGCTCTCACTGAAGACACCGACACTGAAGACATAGCTGTTCTTCTGTACTTCTTTTAAGCGAAACGTTCTTTGTATATGAGGCCAAGGGTGTTCATCCTCTTCAGCTCTAGCGTAGACGGCTCCGCTATGTTTTCATGTTTCTTCTTTCGTGTGTCCGCTACTTTGAAACGTTTGGGCCGCACTGCCCGCCACAGTTTCAAACTGGTCATGTGACTGCATGGCCACATCTCATTGGTAAAAAAGTTACCGGAAACTCCACTGGCGGCATGTTATCTAATGTGTTAAACTAATTATTTTTTAAAAAGTAACGAGTTGAATTTTGCAAATGTAGCAGAGTAAAAGTACCGTTTCTTCTTCACAAATGTACTCAAGTAAAAGTAAAAAGTATTGTGCAAAAAAGGTACTTAAAAGTACATTTTTTTCAAAAACGTACTCAAGTAAATGTAACGGAGTAAATGTAACTCGTTACTACCCACCTCTGCTCACCTCACTAAACACTGCAGTTTTCAGTGCAGCACATTCAAGTGTCACCTTATATCGTTTTCTTTTAGCTCTTTCCCTGTGCTTTATTTCTTTGTAATCCATGCACTGCACCAATTATAATGACTATCTCCTGCTTCCTTCCGTTTCTTCAACTTGATAAACAAAAAGATACAAAGATTTTTGTTCGAAAACCTTCCTGCAATGTCACATCGGTCAAATGTATAAAGTAAGGCTTTTGTTTTCATTTTGCTTCCTTTCAGGTATGATGTTGACTCCAAAAGCCCCGACCTGTCCAAACACGTGAGTACTCACAGCTATTTTAAACCTTGAACCACAGATAAATGGAGATCAGTCTTGGGTAAAATCTGAATTATTGGCTTGAATTGCTGTGGAGAAAATTCCTCCATGTAAACATTTAAATATGGTGTTTGACAAAATGGAAGATAGTAAAAATTCCTTTTATCAGTGGTCTAATGTTGCTTGTTTTAATTAGTTTGTCGCCTGCTGCATGTTTTTAGGGTGGAATAAAGCAAACCCCATCTATTGCCTGATCACATAAGTATCCAAATACAGAGTTTTTATTTGTTCTCTTTTATTCACAGTGCTATTGTTTTTAGATATGCAGTCATATACTGTACTTATATTTCGTATGTAAATGTACAGTTTAAATGTCTACTTGATCAGCAACTGGTTCTTTCATCGTCTTTTTTTATTGGTTTTACTGGCACTGTAGTAATGGATAGTATGTAACACCATAATATACGTTCATGTAGAAAAAAGGATTACGTAATGCTTTTAACCATTAGTTTCCATTTAAAGCGATGCATTACATTATTTTTGTTCTTAATCATTTCTGGGGGGGAAAAACACATTTTTTTTACTCATGACCGGAAACTATGGTGACAGAAAAGCATTGAAAATGTCAAAATAATCAGCGCGGGTGATTATTTGGTGTATTTGGATAAGTGAGGTTTGCGTTTTTCCATCACTTGCTTTAACTGTTCCTCTGTTGGGATTTGGATTTTACTTTTGTGGCACAGCATGTTGTCGTCTTTCGGGTCCCACTTCCCCATTTTGAACAGTGCCAGGAGTGCTAGGTATTTGATATGGTGTTGTGTGCTGGTATATGATGTGCTCTGTTGTTATTGTTGTTGTTGTTGTTGTTGCTGCTGCCGCCCAACTTTTCTGGAAGCCCGCAGAACTCAACGTAGGTCCCAACATCTCTCTCACTTCTAACACTGCATGGCTGCTGTTTCACATGAATGAGCCGTCTCTCAGGAGAAAAGAAGGCGCCACTGATCACAATAAAAACAACTGAGAGCCAAGTCAAGCCATTTGCACAGCTCTTGTTACTGGCCACAGTAATTTCAGTGGAAGTATGTAGTTTTTGTGCCTTTCGAATGTTTTATTCAACGCCATCGAGATGATCAGGTTTCCAGGCTCTTATGGGCTGCATTGAGTGGAATTAATTGGCTTAAAAAAAACCTAGAGACTCATTGAAATCAATCACTCTATAGCCCAATAAATTATTTAACGATCCCAGTCTGTCGAGGTCAATATTAAGGACTTTTGCCCCACATCCTGCCTCTGATAAGTTCAGGAAAGACTATGCTGAAAAATACACAATGAGATTCTTTGCAGAAAAACTTGGGAGTCTGATGAAGTAGATCAGTGCCGGCTGACACTGAGAGACTTCGTCCACAGACATGATGAGCTAGAGTCATAACTGTGTTCAATCATGTTTCTGGCCATTACACACGGGTCACTGAATGCCTCCTTCTTATCCCATCATGTGTAATACCTCACGGTTCATTAAATGAGTGGTTTCCATCAGGTTGGTTGGAGCATATTCTGAGTGGGTTACAATAATTTCTGATGACGGGTTAAATTCAAATACTTTGAAATATGTCTCTACTTTGTTTTGAAGTTGAGGGACTCAAAGTATAGGTAGGCTCTTTTAATAGTGTTCTCCTTCAGCTCAGATTATTATTATTATCCATCGAGTCTTCCCCTTTGTTTTACAATTTGTATTAAGATTTTGGTTATGTGGTTACCCAGCAAATATGGTTGAAACCCTGATGTTATCTGGGGCGATCGTGACTCAAGAGTTGGGAGTTCATCTTGTAATTGGAAGGTTGCCGGTTCGAGCCCGGCTCGGACAGTCTCGTCGTTGTGTCCTTGGGCAAGACACTTCACCCGTTGCCTACTGGTGGTGGTCAGAGGACCCGGTGGCGCCAGTGTCCGGCAGCCTGGCCTCTGTCAGTGCGCCCCAGGGTGGCTGTGGCTATAATGTAGCTTGCCATCACCAGTGTGTGAATGGGTGTGTGAATGGGTGGATGACTGGTTGTGTAAAGCGCTTTGGGGTCCTTAGGGACTAGAAAAGCGCTATATAAATACAGACCATTTACAGGCCATTTATCTCTGTGGTTAGAAGTGGAAACAGTATCACAGCAAAAACTGAACTGTAGAACTGTTGATGTTTTTTCTATGTTGGACAGAGGTCTGGTCAGATGAGCTCTTACAAAGTGAGAAATTTAGAATCAATTATCGCAAAGAAGCAATTAATATGGTTAGTTCACGGCTTTGAAACAACCACACAATGGATTCTCCATGTACTCGTGCTAGTTTTATTGGATCTGTTGAGATGTGCTTTTTTAAAAACGTTTTCTCTTTTGCTGTGTAACCACGTTATACTGTTATCTCACGTCTGTTGAAAGGTGGGATGGATGCAAAAAATTCACGGTGCTGTTAAGTTGCCTATGTGTGAAACAGACCTGATTTTAGTGGAAAACATTTTGACCATTGCATTAACCCAGTATGCAATCATGCATACGTAGCCTACTGGATTACTTGGGTTCAGTTCTATAAACCAGCTTCACACCAGCAATGGACATGATAACACAACGTCACATCATTTAGCACATCACAGTAATATCACCTTTTATGAAACGCATCGTATCAGTTGTATTTTAAGTGTAGCAAATACAGTACTTCTCGTGATGATCACTTTCATCACTTCTCCAAGGTTTTTTTTTTCCTTTTTAGCAGAAGATGTTCCCACTAAAAATGAAATAGTTTGCTGATGTAAACTGTGTATGGATGGCCAAATGTTAACTTTGACCTTGCGAATGAGCATGAGTGAACAAGCTTCAGTGAATTTATCAAATTCTTGAATTTGCATGAACGATCCAGTGGTACGAGATCTGGTGGAACATCCTGAGGTTAATCTGACTTGATCTGTAGACTTTCTGTTTCACGTCTACAATCCCGCCCTTCTTTTTTTCCCTTTCATCTTCTATTTTTCTTCCTTCCTTTCTTCCCTGCAGGACTTTTTGGGTCAGATGTTCTGTACTCTTGGCGAGATTGTTGGATCGCCAGCCAGTCGACTGGAGAAACCACTGGGGTGAGTAGGAGTTCAAGCCAATTTTCGCAAAGGCAAAATGCCCCCTGACTCCAAATGTGATTGAGGAACACTAGACAGTGCTAAGAGGGGAGAAAGGGCAGAAAAAATGACTTTGACACAAATGCAATTACTTATCTCAGTTCCGAGTTTGGGTCAATAACGCTCTTTCGGGAGCTTCATACCTGCATATCTGGTTTAGGCATCTTCACAGGTATGAACATAACATTTAAATAACAACATACAGACTAGATCCAGCTTGGCATTTCTGATGCTTTTCTAAGAAAGTGATTGCAGAAAATCACATAAATGGGTTCTTACAAAATGTGTCCATTAGACGAACTTGGATGTCAGTTGACTGCCAGCACATGGCACTGTAGCATGTTGCAATAATAAATAGTTTGTCTGGTACTGACTGAAAATAAGATGAATTCATTGATGTAAGTTTTGTCTCCTTTAAAAAATGCTAGTGAAGCATTAGCTTGCGTGTTTCTCAGAAGCTTTACATCAGCTGCGAGGAGATTATTAAAGTACAAAGTTATAAAGGACTGAGAGATGTGTATAAATAGACTAGAGGAGGTGCTAATTTAGTAGAAAAGACACTGACTTAGGGCCAGAAAGAACGTGAGGTAAAAAGAGAAATCACAAGAGGGGGCGGATGATGGGAAAAAAGGCAAAGACACAGGGGCGGTTTAGAAGGAGACGTCGGTAAAGACACAAACCAGACAAGAAAGGAGAGTGTGTGTGAGTGTGCCGGTGGTGTCTGGTGGGGTGGAAGAGGTGGGTGGGGGCCAACACCCACATCCTACAGATGTTATCCACTGATAATTATTGTCATTAAAGAAAAGGGAATCGAGTAGAGCAAAATTACCTAAATTACTGCTCATCTCCTCAGCTTGTGCTCTCACACTAGCCGAGGAAAATGTAGTGTTAATGGGGTATCCTGTTATCTGTCTTTCTATATCTATCAACCATCATCATCACCAGTCTGCCAGGCTATTGTGCATTCAGGCAAAGTTGTTCAAATGCTGCTTTCAGTACAATGTGCTGGTTCTTACGTCTGAATGTGTTACCCTGGAGAGCATTAAGACAGAACATCTGAATACCGATATTTAACTGGTAAATATAAAAAATGATTACCATGTTGCTGCACTGGCGAACCTGACATGACTTTCACTTTCACTTAAAAAACAAACAAACAAAAAATTAAATCTTTGTCAGCTGATTTTTTAATTAGTGTTTTAGGGGTTTTGAACCGATTTATTATTTATTATTCATTAACTTGTTAGATTGTGTCCATCATAATCATCGAATTACTTTTATTTCTACTTGTGTTTTCTACCAGACTTTGCGTTTGCAGTTATCTGCTGTAACATTAAAACTACCTGCCAACCGCTTTGTAGGTCACCCATGAAAGCATGTAGAACAGTAAAGACATGCCTTGAGATATTTATGATGATTTCAATGAAGTAAAAATTTAAAGGGAACCCAGTGCAGGCTCGTCTAAAATCCCTGCTTGTGTAGATCTTTGTATCAAACAAATGCTGACCAGTTAAAACAGATTCAGGAACAGATGGTTTGTGCTGACATGTTTAAAAGAACAAAGATTGTTAGAATTGTGCTGTCATTAAAAAAAAAAGGTCTGCAACAAGTGTTTCTTTTTCTGGGATTTCACCTCTTTTTCTGGTAATGTGACAAACTGTTGTTCAAATGCAGGAACACATGTGGACATACAAATCACCAGGCTGGTATACTTTAGTGCAAAGATTTCCATACAGGTCTTATTTAAGAGTAATATCTATGTTTTACAATCCAAGTCTCTGTCTCTGTTCTCTTCATGACATCCATTATTAAATAAAATGCCCGTCAATGCCAATATTTCTACCAGCAACATAGGGGACGTGCTGTTGATAGACAGACTTGTCACACACAGCTGTGGCTACAACTGTAGCTTGCCTCCACCAGTGTGTGAATGTGAGAGTGAATGAATAGTGGAATTGTAAAGTGCTTTGGGTGCCTAGAAATATATATAAGCTAGCTATATAAATGCAATCCATTATAATTTGTGCAGTGAACTTTACACTGAATGTCTTGTGTCTTTAATACATAATACGAAAGAGGGCTCGGTTGTGTCGGCACACCTGTGATGATGAAAGTTGCAAAACTGTTACCAAACCATTTCTGACTGTGTGTTTATGCGTTCTCTCTATCCTTGGTTCACATTTTCCACTGAAGTTGCCGGCTCATGGGGGGGCTTTAGCAAATATAATTTGCCCTGAAAGTCTATATTGAGAGCATAGAGATTACTAATGTTATTAGAAATTTAATATCGAGCCATGTCTATCTGTAGTGGGAATATGTATGGCATGTTTAGAAAAGGAAATGGAGTATTTGCCAAACCATTCATTTTTACTTTGAGACATTCTGCAGCTGCGAGATAAAGGAAGTGCTTGCCAAATTTCATTTTTACGACAGCCTTTAATCTTTCTTTAAAGGCTGCAAAATAAAAGCTCCGCTGGAAACCAAAACAAAAATAATTACATCAACCTTTCACCATTCATGGCGTATGTAGGGCAAGCCTGTTTTTAACATGGTGAAAGCCGGCATACCAGTGTAACTCTGGGATAGTACATGAGGAGTTTGTTCTGGCTTGTAATGACTGATCACTGGTTTCTGGCTGACTCTGATTCAGATTTTGGGATCACTTTAATTCAGTGCTCTTACTTAGTCAATATGCAGTAAACAATACCCTTAAATGCCATTCCCGTGAGATATTAAACACCTGTATGATTATGTGCAGGACACAAAGGTTAGCTTATACAAAGGATTTAAAGTGATTAGCAACTTTTCACTGCAAGTTATAGATAACAGGCTGAGTTGCTGCTTCTTTTAATAGCTTCCATGGGGTTGAGTTTGTAATGTGGAGGAACAGTAAAAACACAGAGTTTAAATGAGCATGTACATATACACATTCACACACAAAGTGTTGCATTTCCCTGGCAGATCAACTCGCGACTGAAATTTGGTTTCATGTTTCTGTTGAGTAATGAAGAGTGATTCATATTTCATTGCTTGAAAAATGTCCAAACATTTGGAAAAACATTTGGAAAAAAAAATCAGGGAATGTTTTAGAATATTGCTTTTGTTTTTCATGTTTCAGCCTGTACGCTGTTTCGCTTTTCACCTGCAAATGCAAAGTATCTAATATGGTGTAAGTCGGAGAAGTAAATCTCTATACATATCTACTTCTATGTGTTTGTGTCACATATGTACATAAATCTGCTTCTTTATAAATTCTGCAATACCATAAAGTACAAATAAGATCACATTAAAATGCATAACTTAATTTTAGTCCTTTCTTTCAGCCTCTAAACGTATACTGTCCTTCATATGCAAATGTGTGCACAGACTTGAAAACACACATGAAAAAACAGGCATGTTTTATTTATTTATTTCATAGATCCTGAGCATAAATGGCACACAAATTAATAAGTGTACTTTATTCTTGTCCCCTGTCTTGTGCTCTCTTTTCTCTGGCTAATTGTAATGGCTTTAATCTTCCTGAAATTAGTGCTTATTTAATTAGGCAGCAGCCATTGTGATTTTCATTATGTTAAAAAAAGAGAATAGAAAAAAGCTCCTGATGGCAGAGAGAGGGAGAGCGAGAGAGACAGCGACACGCACACACACAGAGGGAAGGAGAAATTAATGACCAGTGACAGAGGGACAGAAACACAGACGCTGATGAAAACACTCAAAACAACCTATAATTGCTTGTCTGATTCTACACAACACGAGTCGCTGTCTTAGAAAAAAGTGAGAAAGGCAGAGGGAGGTAGATAATATTCACTCAATATGTTTAGGAGGATGCTTTCATTACACATGTTCTTCTTTCTGTAAAATCTACCCATGAGACTATCTACCCATCAACCCATTGTAAATGCAGACCTGTATTTAACAGATGCTAAAGATGTCAAAATCCCTTCACAGCTCCACTCTGTTCTCAGGGGTATTGGTGTCAGCAGAGGCCTCCACTTTAATTGATTTTGCTGCTACTTGTTTGTAAGAGACTTTGTATTCAGGTGTCACGGTCTTGAGCAGGATGAATTTTATTGTAAGACATCGAGTAATTAGCACTGCTAGTAATTAATTCATCAGCTTGTGTGGCCTCAAAGCCTCTTGTCAGGTGCTGTTTAGTGCACTGTGTGATTTGCACATTCCCTTTGAATGTGAATTGTGTCACTGTCCAAATACTGTGCTTCACCTGTTACATAATACTCAATACATCCTATTTGAATCACTAGACTTCAGCTAAAAACACGACTAACTAAAAAGTTGTGTTGAAATGACAAAAGACTGGCAACACACACGGCCAACAGTGTGGCTAAAAACCGGCCACGTACCTAGTACGCCATGTAAATTACTTTTGATTTAAAGTTTGCAGATTGCTGTTTCAAACTATACATTTACATATAACATTTGTACAAATATATTTTCACCATCTCTCTCCGAACTCATTTCCATCTCACGCTCACTTCAAGCATGAACTGTTTCAGGGTTTTAACTCATGGAAACATGGATAAACATGCTTGTTTATTCCCGATATTGTTGCAGTTACCTATTGCCAGCAGATTAGACAAATGACCATGCTGTGTCTTTAGCTGACAACGAGCCAGCTAAATAACAATGGCTGGTTATACGCTAACGTTATGTGAGCTAATGTTAGCCTTGAGTGTTCTAAAACTCAGACTCTCTCTGCTAAGTGTCCTACAATATTAGAGCTGTTTCAAAGAAAGCTTCACTAATGCTGGCTAACAACAGCTAACAGCTGAAAAAATAACAGCTAACAACGATGGAAAAATGAGCTTCACTTACTCATCAATTTGATTCAGACTCCTTTAACAAAGTTCTACAGTCTTCTCCAGAGCAAACAGATATGGACACCCAGCTGAGGTAAATGAAGGACTGACAGCCTACACTCAGTATATATGGTGGGCAGAGCT